TTTTGTAATTTTTTAGAAGCGGCCCGGGGCTCGGGTTTTGCTAGTTTCGAGATTCTTTCAAATTTTCGATTGTTTTCGATTGGGTATTGTTCCCTTAGCATATTGTGATGTATTCGCTCTGGTTTTGGTTAGATTCGACGCACGTGGAGGCCGATTGAGGGGCAAAGGCATCGCGAGCTAGGGATTTCACCGGTCCGAGGTGAGTAATACTTGTAAATGATATCCTGAGGGTTTGAAACCCCGGATTTGCACATCATAGTGTTGTATTGTGGTGACTTGCACGCCATGTATGAGCGTGGGGTAGAGCACCGTTGGGGATGGTGATTTGGTCCGTCCCGATTGTTGATTTTACTGCGTAATTGACTAAACCTGCTTGATGCTATCGTGATTTGGGCTGATTGCCATGTTTTGGGCTTCGTGCCGATTATTTGAATCCTTTAAGGATTATTGTCACTGTTTTCATGACACTTAGCATATTAAATGATTTCAGTCCCGAGTTAAACCCTATTTTGAAATGTGCAGTCATATTGTTAAAGTTTAAAGACTTAAATTGCATTTTTCTGATGTTTTGAGTTAAAAGCTATTACTTGACATTGCCCGAGTGGCTCATTTGCATGTTCTGGACTGAGGATGGATCGGGTTGCACGCCGCAGCGATACTATGATAATATTGCGCTTGGGCTGTAGGAGCCCCTCCGGAGTCTGAACCCCCACAGTGAGCGCGGGTACCCAAATGGATCGGGCTGCGCGCCGCAGCGGTCATGTGCATTGCATTGCATTCATGCATTGGTTCCTGTTTGTACTACGTGACATGACATTCAACACTCTCATTTCATTGGCATTCATGCTACATCTTGCACTGTTTACCAGACGCCCTGGTGTTAACTGTTTGTGGAGTGCTGTGCCCGAGGGGCTGACTTATGTGCGGACTTGCACTATCTGACTACGCGTTCATTTGCTTGACTGTTGGAAAAGGATGTTTTCAAAAGAGGTTTTAAACTGAGCCAGATATTTTCTAAAGGATTTTCACGGTTTTACTGTTTTCTCAAAGAGTGGTACTGTCCCATATAGCATGATGGAGTGCTCTTACGTGATTTCTTGCCTCTCAATTATTATTTACTCT